AGATAGAAACAGATAGAAACAGATAGAAACAGATAGAAACAGATAGAAACAGATAGAAACAGATAGAACAGATAGAGATAGATAGAAACAGATAGAAACAGATAGTAATAGATAAAAACAGATAGAAATAAATAGAAACAGATAGAAACATAAAGAAACAGAGAGAACAGATAGAAATAGATAGAAACAGATAGAAACAGATAGAAACAGATAGAAGTAAATAGAAACAGATAGAAACAGAGAGAACAGATAGAACTAGATAGAAACAGATAGAACAGATAGAAATAGACAGAAACAGATAGCAATAGATAGAAATAGATAGAAACAGATAACAATAGATAGAAACAGATAGAAACAGATAGAAACAAAGATTAACTGAAAGAAACAGAAAGAAATATATAATAACAATAACAACATAAAAAAATGATCATAACTAAAAATCTTAGATAAAATTTCTTTATTTTCAGATTCTCTACTCGGTTGAGTTTGCAGAATGCTTTTCTCTGGTATTCTGGTGGTCTAATCTTCTAACCAGTGATTCATAAGTTTACACCATTTCTCTCTCAGTAGCAGGACTGGACTGGGGGGGCCACACCCTGTCTCTGCGCCCCCCTTTGGCCCCCTGGGCCGCAGATATGGAACACAACGGGAACTCCCGGAGTCCTCAACCCCTACCGTACACTATGCATGGTACGGACGCTGTCCGTATCCCCGGCCTAGCGGCAGACATCTCCCAGCAGATTGCCAAGTACGACAGCAGTGAGTTCGACGACGACAAGGAGGTCCAGGGCGGTGATGCTGAGGGTGTTTGGGCTCCTGATATTGAACAAAGCTTCCAGGAGGCTCTAGCTATATACCCTCCTTGTGGACGCAGGAAAATTATATTGTCAGACGAAGGGAAAATGTACGGTAAGTAACTTCATTGATTTTAATAAGAGAATTTACAAGATTTAAAGGGAGTGTACGGTAAACAATGAAAGGTGTGTAGAATAAATAATGAAAATTTAAAAAAAAGAATTGGAATAAAAAAATTATCAACCAATTTTTGATTTGAAGAAACTGTCTTATAGTACACATTTTTTAATGCTTTTTGGAAACATTTTACGTAGATTAAATAGGGAGCATGAGGGGATTTTAAACTCAATATTTATAAAAGTTTACTTTAGGACGTAACGAGCTGATAGCACGGTATATCAAATTAAGAACTGGAAAAACGAGAACGAGGAAACAGGTTCGTTTTTTAAGATATGTTTTTCTTTACATTTATTTGAACACGTTGATTTGTGAGTAAATTCCTTTTGTTCATAAGTTACGCACAGGTTTTTAATTTCTCATTTTTCTCCCGTTTCCATGATATGTTTTTTTCGGCTATTTTTTCTTTTACCTTTAATTTCCTACCATTCTGTTCTCTTACATTTCTTATTTCCTTTTTTTTGACTTACAACTGCTTTCCATNTATTTTTTAATTTTGGAACATTCTGTATTTTTTAATTTTGGAACATTCTGTATTTTTTAATTTTGGAACATTCTGTATTTTTTAATTTTGGAACATTCTGTATTTTTTAATTTTGGAACATTCTGTATTTTTTAATTTTGGAACATTCTGTATTTTTTAATTTTGGAACATTCTGTATTTTTTAATTTTGGAACATTCTGTATTTTTTAATTTTGGAACATTCTGTATTTTTTAATTTTGGAACATTCTGTATTTTTTAATTTTGGAACATTCTGTATTTTTTAATTTTGGAACATTCTGTATTTTTTAATTTTGGAACATTCTGTATTTTTTAATTTTGGAACATTCTGTATTTTTTAATTTTGGAACATTCTGTATTTTTTAATTTTGGAACATTCTGTATTTTTTAATTTTGGAACATTCTGTATTTTTTAATTTTGGAACATTCTGTATTTTTTAATTTTGGAACATTCTGTATTTTTTAATTTTGGAACATTCTGTATTTTTTAATTTTGGAACATTCTGTATTTTTTAATTTTGGAACATTCTGTATTTTTTAATTTTGGAACATTCTGTATTTTTTAATTTTGGAACATTCTGTATTTTTTAATTTTGGAACATTCTGTATTTTTTAATTTTGGAACATTCTGTATTTTTTAATTTTGGAACATTCTGTATTTTTTAATTTTGGAACATTCTGTATTTTTTAATTTTGGAACATTCTGTATTTTTTAATTTTGGAACATTCTGTATTTTTTAATTTTGGAACATTCTGTATTTTTTAATTTTGGAACATTCTGTATTTTTAATTTGTTGTTTTTCGAAGTTAAACTTGTTAATCAACTCCTGGTCTAAAGGTTTTGTTAATTATCTTTATAACAATTCAAACTTTTATCATTTCCTATTCTATATGAAGTGTAGGGTGCCCGGAAGGCATCCTAGTTAATGATTTGGTCCACCCTATTTCAGACTCATTTGCCGACTTTAGGAGATGAAAGACTCTACCACGGGGTAGGTTTTCAAGCTATTCAGTAGGGCTTCCACTGGTAGGGGACGTCTAGCCGACATGATTTTCAGATTTTAGAAAATTTAATTCTTTTTTTTTATCAAAAATGTATCAAAACTTCAAATAAGAAAATGGTCTGACCTCCCTTACCAGTCTTGGGTTTGGTTAAGGAGAAGGGTTGGTTGCAAAAAAATCCATTCGAGGATTTTTGCATTATTTGGTATTTTCTATCGCAAAGCTTATAGTTTCTCTGAAAAGGGATTAGAAATAGACTTATTCAAACATTTTTCAAATAACAGTTTTAATGAATATTATATATTCAGTTTATTAAATTGTTTAATTATTTTTGTAATTTGTAGTACTTAGGTTTTTAATATAATATTCTAATTTTACCCTATCGCAGGTTTAAAACAAATTTTTGAACAAAAAAGACGGATCTAAAGTTTTTTTTTATGAATTTGAAAATTTAAATATTTATCATTAACAAACATTGAAAGTAAAAGTTACGAGTCAAATATAAAATAAAAATCATCTTCTGTTAATTTTTTTACCTCTCATTCCTAAATATCTAAACAATGTCTTTCCACTTAGTTTTCCACTTCCGTTTTCCAATTCCATTTTTCCACTCCTAGTTTTCCCCTTTCCATTTTTCCATTCCTAGTTTTCCATTTCTAGTTTTTCATTTCTAGTTTTCCACTCCTAGTTTTCCACTTCTAGTCTTCCAATCATAGTTTTCCACTTCTAATTTTCCACTCCTAGTTTTCCACTCCCAGTTTTCCACTTCTAGTTTTCAACTTCCAGTTTTCCACTTGTAGTGTTCCACTTCTAGTTGTCCACTCCTAGTTTTCCACTCCTAGTTTTCCACTTCTAATTTTCCATAGTTTTCCACTTATAGTTTTCCACTCCTAGTTTTCCACTTATACTTTTCCACTTATAGTTTTCCACTCCTAGTTTTCCACTTCCATTTTTAACCTCCTAGTTTTCCAATTCTAGCTTTCAACTATTAGTTTTCCACTTCTAGTTTCAACTATTAGTTTTCCACTTCTAGTTTTCCATTTATAGTTTTCCACTATTAGTTTTCCACTCATAGTTTTCCACTTCTAGCTTTCCACTTCTAGCTTTCCACTTTTAGTTTTCCACTTCTAGTTTTTCATTTCTAGTTTTTCACTCCTAGTTTTCCACTTCTAGTTTTCCACTTTTAGTTTTCCGCTTCTAATTTTCCACTCCTAGTTTTCAAATTCTAGTTTTCCACTGCTAGTTTTCCACTCCTATTTTTCCTCTCCTAGTTTTCCGCTCCTAGTTTTCCACTTCTAGTTTTCCACTTCTTGTTCTCCACTCCTAGTTTTCCACTACTAGTTTTACTCTCCTTTCACTTCTAGTTTTCCCTAGTTTTCCTAGTTTTCTGTTTTTAGTTTTCTACTTCTAGTTTTGCACTCCTAGGTTTCCACTCCTAGTTTTCTTATTGGGTCTAGGGTCTAAAGATTTCATGATTCTTCCTTTCCCTCTGTATACATTTTAAAACTCTAATTGCACGGTATAATAAAGCTAAATCTTCCAAAAAATTTCATGTATTTGAAAAATTTAATCTAAATTTTTTGCGAATATGTTTGCAAAAAAATTTCTAGAATTTCTAGATTGAAATATTTTGAGAATTCAAAGGATTGGTGTATAAAGGGCTTTGTTAGAATTTACACGAAAAAATGCTTACTAATTGTTACGTCATCCTGACAAAGAAATAAATCATCTTAGCACAAATCTCTTGGGTGATGGGTTCAGGGTTTTGGAGCGAAAAAGTGTTTTTAAGAAAGTTTTATACAAAATTTGTAATAACTTATTTTTTTGCTTTGCATTTTTATTTACCAGAAACTGTTGAAACTTATAAAATAAAAATGATTACAAATTTCTAACTAACAATTTTTTTGTTCGAACTTTAAAATTTGGTTGAATTTAAACTTTTCACAGGCCAAGATTATTATTTGTATCTCGATGCATCAAAGTTGATTCTAAATCTTCATCTACTTTGCATGGTTGTGGCTGAACTACTTTTTAAATTGCAAAATCTTCTTTCGATTCGCATAGCAGGGTGCAATTTCATGGCCAAATTATTGGTGGTGGCCCTGACGACAGTTTTCACGTCAAACTAAAGTAAATTCACGTCAAATTTAAATCTTATATTATAACTTTTCTTATGAAAGTGCATTTGGCAGATTTGGGACGTACAACAATGTTTTGAAATTCTAATATGTAACAGGCTTTCTATCATGAAAATCAAAACTAAAAGAGCTACGAGTTCTCAACGTCGTACCAATAATGCCACTTAACTTGACACTTTAGTTAAAGGGTCTGTAAGCGCAATTTCAAATGAACTTCCATTTGTAGAGCTGCACGTTCGACTTACAACGATACCATTTAAACCTTTGTCTGATAAAGGATTTCGTAGATATATTCTTATTTTTATAGCGGGAAGTTAAGTGCCAAGAAACCGCGCAAATGTACACTAGCACGGTGTGTACAGTGTACACTGTAACCTTGAGTCTCATCTTCCGTCACTCAATCTTCAGCTATATCTACCTCATCGTTGTCCGTTCAAAGGTTTTAAGGATACTGTTAATTTGACATGCCTCTCTAGAAATGGAAGGTCACTTGAAATTATGCTTACAGTCCCTTTAATATTATTTTATTCTAGGTTCCAGGTCAGGGTCCAACCTCCTACCTTGATGCTGCTCAGAGAGAGAAGGCTTTACAATCCATGCAGCAGATGTCAAGTGCTCAGATTGTCTCAGCTACTGCAAACATGCATCCCAGGTAATATTATCTGCGTCATATCGATAAACCGAATACATGGCGATAAATATTTTCATAGAATTTGATATTAGGGATATCACATCAACTTTTAGCTGCAAAATAACTTAGTGTTTAGAAAAATTATTCAAAAATAAAATATACTGTAACAAAATGTTCCTAATATCGAGAATCTTTCGCTTATTTTTCTAATAATAATAATAAAAATACTAATAATTCAACATCATAGAAATTTATAAAGTTGCCAATAAAACTATTTGCTTTGTAACAACAACAACTACACTTAAGTATCGTTAAAATCATAAAATGTCGTCTTTCTATTCCACACTTTTCTATATCTCACAAAATCTTTAAAGAAAATATTTAAAGTTTAGTCATAAATATATTTTTTATGAAATTTTCATGAAAAAGCAAGCAATGTTTCCAATTTATTCAAGGTAAAAAAACACACATTTGTTTCCATATTATAAAAAATTAAAGAAAAAACATTCAACTTTGTTCTTTTAAACTACGGCTATTATTTTTAAAGATTTCCCATATTTAATTTTAAATATTAGTTACAGGATGGGTCCTCCTGTCTCCTACGGTGGGTTCTGGCAGCATCCAGGCCTTGGTCAAACTCAAGATGTGAAACCGTTTGCTCAGAATCCATTCCTTGGAGATAAACCACCATCATCTATAGGTAACAAAACCACCACTTTTCTCTCTTCAGCTAGTTAATTTGAAATGTTGACCAGTGACTGTGTTTAATGAATTTGTGCTTAAAAAACCAAAAAATTCACAACTTGTACTCTTAGGGACTTATTTTTTACCCAATCATAATAAAATGAATATCACAAGGTCTCTAGGATGTTAGAACTATGTGAAAAAAATATTGGATTTGGTAAACCTTGCTCTGAATAAATTTCCTTTGTCGCTTGGGGATGGAACTGATCAGCCTGAACTACCCACTGCCGGTTCAAATTTCAGAAGTTGAACCTTTTGTGCGGAGAATCTTAGGATCAAGTCTTGATCTCTTTGTTATGGAAACCTGCGCGGCGGATGAATTTAATCCCTCATCAATATCTCGTGTGGTCATACCCTGAAGGGAAAACTTAACTGTGATATCAAGATCTAGCGTTTAAGGTTTATGAAACTCCAAGTAAAGTTTCTTACCTCTGTTAAACTTAAAAACAAATGATTACAATAGGGCACAATGTTTATTTTCAATGTTTATTAAAAACAAAAACCACAAATGAATTGAGTCTTTGTCACAAACTCGAATTTTCTAAACCGGATGGTGTAAACTTTTGATATTTTAAACTTAGATGATTTTATCTAACATAATTCATATCTTGAAATATCTAAGGTGTACGACATTAGATTGCGAAGATATTAGGATTAGAGAATCAGAGTTTGTGGCAAAGACTTAATTCCTATATATACGAGTTGATCTAATCCCTGTTTAATTTGTCCAGGAATGGGAATGAGTGCTTTGACCGGCGCAGCTCAACCCACCAGCCCAGCTTGGCAGGGGCGGAGTATATCTACACAAAAACTCCGCCTTGTAGAGTTCTCCGCCTTCGTGGAACAGCAAAGGGAACCGGAGACGTATAACAAACATTTGTTTGTTCAGATCGGCGGAGCAATTACTTACTCAGATCCTTTACTTGAGGTAGTTTAATATATACAAGAAATCCTATCAATGTCACAGAATGTCAAACAAACTTTGATCTTGTGTCGTAAAAATTTGATAGAATGTCATAAAACTTTGATAGATGGCCATACAAATTTATTAAAATGAAATAAAACTTCAATCGAATATCTCTGATAAAACATCATAATACTTCGATAGAATTGCATGAAAATTTATCAGAATGTCATAAAATAGAATCCAGAACAGAAATAATTAAAAGATTTGTTATCAGGAAATAAATTTTGTTTGTTATGAATCTATTTTTAAATCTCTGATAAAACCTTTTCTCCGAAGAAAATCAAAATTACTATTTTCATAGTTCATAAATAATAGAATTAAAAAACGTTTTTATCGTTATTTAACAACAAGCTGGAGTACCCGGCGTTGTCCAGGATAATATTATTATTTATTATTCGTAGTTTGCCATACTTAATCTTACCGTTTACCCGCCCTTAATATTAATATATGTATGGCCACCTAGAACGACCTAATGTACATATTTATGATATACACGTGAGTAAAGAGTATTATTATTAAACAGTTAAATATCTATATTTCAGCCTGTGGATGTTCGACAAATCCAGGACAAGTTCCCGGAGAAGAAAGAAGGCTTGAAAGATCTGTATGAGAAGGGTCCTCAGGACGCTTTCTTCCTTGTCAAGTTCTGGGCTGATCTAAATACTAGTATATCAGAGGACGCAGGAGCATTTTACGGAGTTACCTCAACGTAAGTTTTATTATTACTAAATTCATTATTTAAAAACGTCATAACTGCCGGAAATGGTAATTTTTTGTTTGGGGAGGGGGGGGGTGCAAGCTGCTGTGTTGTACATTAATTTATCGTTAATCTTTTATTTTATTAACTGAAAATTGTTGACGTTTTTCAAAACTTGGAGGAGTAATTTGGTAAACCAGTTCAAGCTTTCATGGTTTTTATTTTTTCAATATAATTTTTGTAATTAATTAGAACTAACTTCTTTTTATCTTTAATGTTATTTATTTTTAAAACAATTATTAAATAATAATTGTTTAAGGTTTGAAGGTGGTAGATTTCTGTATAAGCTGCACAGATCCCCGATGTGTGAGTACATGATCAACTTCATCTTAAAGCTGAAGCACTTGCCCGAGAAGTACATGATGAACAGTGTACTAGAGAACTTTACAATTTTACAGGTAAAGTTTATCAGAATATAAAATTTCAGTACTTTTAGTCAAACTGCTGAATTTTTTCAAATCTCTGTTGTGCACAAAGCATCAATCTCATTTGTTCTTATCACTGTATCTTTGCAACCTGAAAGCATTCGGTATTTCAAACTTTGACTATTGATCCCAGCAGAATTCATAGTTTGAAATATGAAAGGTTTACAACTTGTACTGTTGTACAGATAGAAAAATTGAAAAATTATTGTCAGACTCAGACGCAAGTGTTTAAGGGACTTTAAGTGTAATATCAACACCAGATTCACAACGATACCCTTAAACGTTTTGTCTGATCAAGTATAAATTATATATCAATATTTAAAATTTTTGAACTGATTATTTCCTTTTGTAGATTCTCTAGAAAAGTGACTTTCCTATACTTCGACAATATCTTGAACAATATTGATCAGATTGATTGATTGATTGATTAACGTTTATTTCTTGTATCTTAAATCTGTATTGATCAGATAAAGCTAGGATTAAGAGACACTTGAATTACGCTTACATTCTCTTGAGTTCCATTTCGTCAAAGTAAAAAACGTTAATTTTTATTTTTTAGGTGATAACCAATAGAGATACAGGAGAAACATTGCTATGCACTGCATACGTATTTGAGGTGTCTACAAGCGAGCATGGAGCCCAGCATCATATATACAAACTTATTAAAGAATAGATCAATCTTAGATCAGTGTTTTCCTACCACTCAGCTTCTTCTAGTTCTAGAGACACGTAGTGAAAAGTGTGTGTGCTGTTACACTGTTTGAAATACCTAAATGGAGATTAGAACCCTAGTTTATTATTGTCAAAGTTTTGTAAAAGTTTCCCCCTAACATTAATCTCTCTAGCAAGGGGTGATTGATTTGGTATACTGTGCCGTTTTGCCGTCTAAAGTCTGTACAACGTACATATACTGTACTGTACTTGCTCTAACTGCCTATAAGTCGGTCCAGTACTTCAATGAACTGGAATTTACATTGCCCTCAATTTGGATAGGATCCAGTTTATATTTGTTTCAAATCCCATTTTTAGTCTTATACCCACCCTCCTCTCCAAAATTCTGATGTACTCTACCGTTGCCAAACGAAAACATATCTCAAATATTTATTGTGCGATTCACTTCTGTTCTTTTGAAGACGCAGGAAATAAAAAAAAAAAAATTTAGATTCAATAATTTCTTATTGTGTTTTATGTTTAGATATTATTTAATTATTTAGATCTCTGAACCCACCTTATATATTTCTGCTTGTAAACTGCTAGAATAGAATAGATTTAGAAATAGAAGTGATGCAAAAAAAATCGTTATAAAGGAAATGTTCGCCAAAAAGGATCTAGAGTAAAATGTCAATAATATTTAAATTATGAATTGGCTGATTTAAAAAAAATGTATTAATGTTTCATCATATGGTCTTATTTTTTCGCGAACACTCCCTTTAAATGAAAAATACTGATTGAAAAATATTTTTTACCTCTGCCACGAAACAGTTTCAAATTAGACATAAAAAAATGAAAATCCATTTTAAATCAAAACAAAATAAAATCTGGTTAAATTTTCTGATATAAATGAAGCATGGCAGTTCCCTGTGATCTCTTATACTATTATTTGTATAATATTTTATGTACCCTTCATTAAGTAGTGCTTAATCAAATTGGAACAATTGTACAACTGAACTGAACTGAACTGAACTGAACTGAACTGAACTGAACTGAACTGAACTGAACTGAACTGAACTGAACTGAACTGAGAACAGATAAGTACTGTTTTATGCGTACATTGCACTTTTCAAACATTCCGTCTTTACGATGCACTCTGTACAGTGTACAGTGTACTATGTATAGTCCATATCGTACAGTCTAACCCTACAGAGTCTGAAAATTAAATCAGGGTATCAGTTCGAAACCGGGTGCTAGAAACCCAGTTTCATTATCGGGATAAGAAATTTTAGCTTTTGTGATAACAAACTACTTAAATGTTGCGTCTCAAAAACCAATCTGGGTTTCTTTCATGAGTCTACGTTCACCGATAATTTTGTAGATTTCTGTGTATTTTTTATGTACACTGTACACTGTGCAGTATTCAGTACAAAGTCTACAATTTGGCATGAACAGTTCAATTGTAAGCACTGTACTAGTTACATAATATATAGTACACTGAACCGTGGACAGTGCATAGTGCAGAGCACAGTTCACTGTACATTTTTACAGTGTCAGGAATGAATAGAGTGTAGTTTTTATGAATTGTAAAAAATTAAGAATTCCTTCTGTTAAGAAATCTTAAATATATTGTTGTTTACTTAATGTTGTTTGTTAGAGAAGAAGTAAAAGATTTAGAGTTTGATAATTTTTCTTATTTTGTTTTTATTGAGTTTTTTTTCTTTCTAATCTAAAAGAAAANCCCCCCCTCCCTTTACTCCTTGCAGAAACCAACATGCAAACTTGCCATTTAACATTAACCGCGCAGTTGCAAAATTATTTGAAATCGAAAAATAAGAAACTGTAATCATTCAAATTCATTTCTGGTGAACAATCTTTTAAAGATAAAAAAAATCTAATATCAATAATATGTAGTAGTATATAGTAGTATTCTAAACCTTCCACAAAAACATGTTTGACCTAATTTTTGACGTTTTTGAGGACAAAAACCGGTTTTTCATTTTTTTTTTTCAATTTGAATTTTATAAATTTCATGCCAAGTGTATAAAAAAGAAACAAAGAAACGTTTAACTAACGTCAATCAAGGATTAATAAGAATGAGATTACAAAAACATCATTTTCACTCAGTTATTTTTTATTAAAGATACAAATAATAGTTTTAATGGTTTAACATGAAGTTTAATAATTTCCAGGGAAGATTTCAAATCAAAGAATGACATTTGTGTCATTCTCTCATGCAACAGTTAACCCCTTTTCTTTGTTCACGCATCACGGAGAACTGAGAGGGGGGAGGGAGGGGGGGGGGGTGAGGGGGATACAGACCAAGGAATATCTAGAACAGAAGCCAGGAATATTTGTGTTTACATCATATTCCTCCAATGGATAAAGTGTTTGTTTATAATGTACAATAAGACCCAACAACCTATGGAATAGGAAGACCATATTAAGTCAATCTTTTACTCATTAAATGCTGTTATTTAGGAAGTAAAAAGCTTTATTGCTTACTTGAAACCCAACTCTTGGTGAAAGAGCCCCATAGTTTCACCATCAGTAAAAAAAAATAAGTTTGATAAACCTGGTTGGACACGGGCAACGCCGGGTTACTTCTAATGTATTTACTAGACCTCTGTATTTCTGTAAACACCTTGAAGCACTAGAAGATCCAGCTTCAGGCAGAATATTTGAAAATTTTACCAGGTCTAGCAAACTATTTCAGGTATGGGATAAAACATCCTAAAAATAAAGTACAGGGTGTCCCACAAAACATGACAGTTGGTAAATAATTGTTAATGTCTTCTGCCATATACTGTTTTAAATGTAGAAGAATTTTTTCAATTTATAAAAAAAACTTTTACTCAAATATATTTGACTTTGAAATCAATTTTACTCTGCATAATATGACTGCCATATAATATTTTTTTAATTCTCTTTGATATCAAACAATTTAAAAAATTATAGATGAAGAAATGTTTCTCCGATTTAAATATAAATGTTGTCTTGGCTGTAATTCAACAATCGCTTATAGAATTGTCCTTTTTCGTTTAAAAGGCACCAGCCGACAAAAAAGACGAAACGAAAAAAGTGAAAAACTTAATTGGTCAAATTGTGATCGATAGCCACAGCATTTTTAGGGTCCAACTGTTAAATTAGCGTGTTCTGAGCTATGTGTGAGAGAAAGAGACGAAATAAATCTTTCCTAAATAGTTCCACAGATTTCTTGCTCTTGCAAGATTTAGAGCAAAACACATTGTTCAAAATAGAAATAATAAATGAACATTGAACATTTTGAAATAACCATTTAAAAAAAACTGTTGTTAAAGGTAAAATTGTTGGGTAATTTAAATAAATTAAGAGGTTTGATACAGTCGAGCCGTTGCATATATATCAACACAATGAAGACGACTTTCGATTTCATTTTTGATTATATCAAGCTTTTAAACAGCATGGTGACACAATGCATGAACATGAAAAAAGAGAAGCTGTCAATTAAAAAGCTTCTTTTTAAATAGTTGTAAAATTATTATTCAAGAGAAGCCTGTTAACATTAAAAACTTAAATAAAGAGATGTCGTCATTTTATTGATATAAACGCCGACCACAGTACATGTATTAATCTCTATCAAAAATAGATCCTCAACTTTTAAATATGGGTCCGACAAAATGTAAAGCAAAGGTAAAATCCAGTTTTTCTTTAGTTAATTTGCGATTGTTTTGAAATCCATTTTCTTTAACTGTTGAGCACAAGATTATATTTATAAATGGTATATATAAGGTTGATATTGGAGTAGGCTGTGACATCGGGTAAATAAAGCAGACACTCAATAGGACTAGCAGGTGCAACATGGTTAACGCGGTCAGACTTTAGGTTGAATTTACTTTTACTAAATGCATTGTCAGGGGTGCGTAACTAGGCGTAAATGTGTTTAATTATAATAATTACTGAATGTTTTTTTGCAGGAAAGCTCAATTTTCACTTTTGTGTATATAGACACCACAATGGAACATAATAAAATTATAAACATCAATATCTAATTCATAATTGATCAGACCAAGCTTTCTTAAGGGTACCGGGGATTCGGGCATTTCCATCTTTGCATTGAAGTACACTTGAAATTATGCATATCATTCCTTTTAACCGTTGAAACCTGTCTCAGGTGCTATAATACCTCTCCAAATCAATTCTTAATTTTCTCTTCGTGAATTTCTAGTTTATATTTGGCAGCTGAATTTTATTTTAAAAATTGCAATACTTGTGTGTTAATAATCTTGAGATCAAGCTTTGATATCCCGTAGTGGACAGTTAGTCCCTGTAATCTTAATTTAAAAATCCAGCACTGAACCTCAAATTCAAAAGTGCTCACAATTTTGGAAATCGAGACCAAGCGTTCAAAAGTTCCAAACTCATGGCTTATATCGAGTTAAGTCGCTAAGGCTAAGACCTATTCCTAGCAAAAATGTTGCCCTCTGTTTAGAAAGAATTTGACCTATAATGGCAGGTGATACAAAGTTTTCAATTGCTGGTTCTTTTATTTTCATAATTTTTGGTACTTCTATTTACTATTTACTTTTCTAATGGTGTATAGCTAGGTGTGCAACTCAGTGTAAACTCTGGTTTATTTTATGTACCGGACTGGCAATCAAACAGCTAGAGCAAGCAGTACAGTACAAATACAGACTTTATAAGGCAAAACGGGAAAGTACGCCAAATGAATCATTCCATCATATGCGGCGTGCCTATTTTGACAATAATTAAAATATATTTTTAATTTTAATCTGTTTTTGTCCTAAAAATACCCTCATAATTTTAAAACAAATATCAGAATTGTGACAATAAAAAATTACAAATTATTTGCGGCATTTTCTAATAAAAAAGAGAAAATTTAATTAACGATGGGCATTTTACAATTTATGCATATTATAAATATGTTATAAGAAAAAGAAAATAAGAAAATTTCTCTGGTTTATTTTATGTACCGGACTGGCAATCAAACAGCAAGAGCAAGCAGTACAGTACAAATACAGACTTTATAAGGCAAAACGGGAAAGTACACCAAATAAATCATCCCATCATATTCGGCGGCGTGCCCATTTTGACAATAATTAAAATGTATTTTGTAATTTTAAAAAATACCCTCATAATTTTAAAACAAGTATCAGAATTGTGACAATAAAAAAATTACAAATTATTTGTGGCATTTTCTAATAAAAAAGAGAAGATTTAATTAACGATTGGCATTTTACAAATTATGCATATCATAAATATGTTATAAGAAAAAGAAAATAAGAACATTTTTTATATCTATTACTAGATAAATTTTGCAAAATAGAGTTGAAGAATGGATTGAAGATGAAAGCGTATTTCTAAGATGAAAGCGTACAGGGGAATAATAGCCCTTGTTCCCCCATTAGTTGCGTAGCCTAGAGCTACGCACCTGCTCTACCCAATACACGATGCGTACAATTTTACGACTCAAAAACAAACAGACAAAAAATCATCAAGAGAATATTTTACACTAAAATCATTAAAATATATTTTTAAAAAGATTATTTCCCTACATTTTGGACTTTTTAAAAACCTGTAGTGCCTTAATCAAATTTGATCTTTTCAGCGGTNAGTCCGCAGCACAAACCCAAACCAAATTGTAAATAAAAAATTTAAATGATTTTCTTTGTTTGCTTGAACCGGGCTCATGTATTATTCAGAAATTAGACTTCAGCCTTTTCAGTTTTCATTACTTAACAGACATTTATCAATATACAGTGAGAACATTGGAATTATCGATGTTTCCGTTTTTTAATTATCAAATGTGGCGTAAGGTTTTTTTTACATTTCTAACTACTTTTTTTCAAAAATATTGCTCTTTACATTTTCACAATTTTAGTTAATTGCAAAATATTTAGCGAAGAACAAAGACGACATCGATTCCACAGTTTTCTGGATCTTATTGTACATTGCAATATAATATGTATAATGTTTCTTTTCATAATTTTATCTCTCATAATTGCAGTGTAATAAAAGCAAGATAAAAAACTTTTATGAATTTTAAAACCAACCTAATTTTTGTTTAAAAAATTAATGGACATTTTCCATATGCTACTTCATGAAAATTATATTGTATTATATTTTAAAGATATACAACCAATTATAAAGGCCATTTTGATTAAAAAGGTTAATGGTTAATATTTAATGGACACCATTTGTAAAAAAAATCCAGCATTATTTTCCACATACTTTAATGTTTCAAAAATCTGATCAATAATGTGGAAGACATTATGTTGTTCCAGGTTTAAAAGTGTTTAATTATAATATTTTCTATAGGTTTTACTTGCAGTAGAAATACGCAAGTTACTTTTGTAGGGAAACCCAAATTGTAAATTTTCAAAATTATAAACATTAACCCTATTGAGGCTGACGTCTGGTTTACCAATAATAGTGTTAGAAGGGGTCTTCGCGACTCTCCCCCCCCCCTCTATTTCCGTATTTTGATACAAATCTATAACATTTGATACACTTTTGGAAATCCCTTGAGCTCCACTTTGATAATCTGCAATTTTTTAAAAAAATTTGCAAAATTTCAAATATTTATTGCACTATCAAATTATTAATGTGCAAAATCAAAAAGTGCGCGAAATATGATAAATTAT